TGTTGTTTTAGGATTTGCATTTATTATTATAAATGCAAACAACAATTTCTGTTTCATTTTTTGATTATTTATTCATACTTACGTAGGCTGTTTTTTTTTCAAGCTCCAATGATCCATAAAATAAAGACAAATGTAACTAACAAAATGAATTTATTACTAAAAGTAAGGTACAAACATGGTTACTTTTCGACATAATCACCATGAAAATTGAGGCATTTGTCATATCTGTGAACAAGCTTTTCCATCCCCTTGTCATGGAATGTTATCACCAATGACTTGAGATGGGCTCTAACGTTGTTTTGAAGATCGTCATTAGTCTCGAACCTCTGCCCGCCTAGCCACTTTTCCTGTTCAGGAAAGAGGTGGAAGTCACTCGGCACTAAATCAGGGCTATACACTGGGTGTTTAAAGGTGGTGAAGACCCACCCAGCTTAAAACTTTTTAATGTGTGAAGACTTCCACCTTTTTACCTCTTTCCTGAACTGAAAACATGGCTAGCAGGGCAGAGGTTTGAGACTAATGACGATGTTCAAAACAACGTTGTTAAGGCCATCTCAGTTCACTGGCGGCAACAGTCTATGACAAGGAGACGAAAAGGTTTGTCCACAGATATGACAAATTCCTCAATCTTCATGGTGATTATGTCAAAAAGTAACCATGTTTGTACCTAACTTTTGGTAATAAATTCATTTTGTTATTTACACTTGTCTTTGTTTTATGGACTATCAGAGCTTGAAAAAAAAACTGCCCTCGTATTTAAACATTTTTAGATCATTATATTACTTCATTATATATTTGTCAAATTATGCACTAAAATATGTCAAAGATGAAAAATGACAAATGTAGCCTGATAAATTTCAACTATCAACCTTGGAAATAAACTCAAACTCTTTATCAACACTTCTATTAAATTTTTAATAACAATATTAAAATTGGATAATTTCTGGGCCATCTCATAAAATTATTCAATAAATATTTAACAATTTTTGAAATTTAAAATTAAAGATTATAAAAATAAAATATTTTGAAGTGGTTTCCAAAAATTAAAACTAAGAATATGTTCCTTATATTTATATTTATTTCCATCTTACACATCTAGTAATAAACTATTTCTTTAATTTAAGATCTCATTGATTGTAAAATTCACTATGAACTCAGAACAGAGTATGCACAAAAGCTTTTTACTAACTTAATAGCCTAAACGTAATTTAGCCTAATTTATCTGTAACTGCTATTTTGAATTTAATGTTAAAATAAATGAACACAATACATTTATTATGCTCTTCATCACTATTTCTGAACTCTTCTGCACATATATAATTATTGATACATGAAAATTCTTACGTACCAAAAATCAAACTTTATAGGAGCAACAAAAGAATTATTATTACAATACAATAGCATAACATTTTCCCATATGAAGATTCATTATAAGGTGTAATCATGTAATTACCTAGATGTACTAATTTTTATTTTACTTTATTAATATTAGTCTATTGTGACTAGAATCTATTAATAAGACTTATTAGGATTTAACTTGCAGATGAAATGAGAGAGATTAAATCAGTCTCTTGGTTCAAAAGAATAAACTTTTATTTGCACCCATACATAAATTTTCTTGTATTTCAGACCTTTTCATCCCTCTTCAGCAGGTATTTTATTAGTTATATTTCTAAAACTAATTATACAATACATTTTTTAAAAATTATAAAATCTTAAGCGGTAATTACACACTTAATACACTTTAGAAGATTTATTCCTAACTTATGCAAAAGTCTTTCAACTTTTTATCCTTTTTCCTGAAAGATAAAACTCCAAATACATGTTGCTTGTTTCTTTTTTTATTTTTTCACTTTTAGATTTACTACTGAATAAACTCAACAGTAGAAAGAAAAATTTAGTCATTTACAAGATTTCCTCAGCAATGCAGACTGCCTAATTATATAAAGCTTATTATAAATACAATATAGCCAATTTCATTGGTTGAATGTTTCTAAAAATATTTTCAGAACATGCATATTCCAAGGAACTGCACAACTATGACACAATTTATTTGACCCATAGCAGTGCTTATGATGTTTTACTGTGTTAACATGTTTTCATTTCAATGCTGTATCATAATGTATTGTTTTGAAACATATTTAAATGGCAAATAGAATCCAAATTTTAGTTGAATTCAACTTATACACCTGAGATGACAACAGGATAAACAAAACAAAATTTGCTCATATGCATATAGTGGCAACTATGCTATGGATTACTCATAGTTAAATGGAAAGTTTATCATCAAATATAAGATGTGTTTCAACTATACGAATCCTGATTTCAGAAATATTAAAATGTAAAAAAAATTCATATCTCAGAATTGAGNCACAATTCAATTTGATATTGATAATTAGTTATAACTAATAATTTTTTGAGTTTATTTAAAATCTGAAATTATTCATAATATTCTAATATTCCCAAATATAAAAACACTTTACATTTATTTCTATCAAATAGCAATTCTGAAGACAAATTTTGAAAGAGAATATACACATTTTTAATAAAAAACTAGACAAAATGTATAAACCCAAGTAATTTACAAATATTTTATGTTAAAATTTCATTGATTTGGAAGAAAGTTTATTCATAGAAATGTAAACCAGCAATATAGCAATTATCAGTCAGGTACAATGCTACCAAGCCATAGAATCTTCACTAAAAGATTTGCAAAGCATATTCATAAGTCACTCAGGAGTTTTAATTTCAATTTTCTTGAAAATATTTGTGAAGTACACTTTGCTCAATAAAGGTTAATACCAAGACTTATCCATAAACAATTTCATTGAAAACTGGGATGACCACATTATGATCTCTCCTTGTGAGTCATTTTAGTAAATATCAGGATGAGAAAAAAAAATTATTTTCATAAAAAAATAATGGTTATTTATGAGAGAATAAATGCAGAAGATGACACTAATTGCAAAGTTTGTCTGCCTGAGTATTTAAGGTTTGAATTTTGTAATGAATTTAAATTTAAAAATTTTAATATACAAAATTTCTTGTCTGTATATTTTGTGATGATTCTGACAATGAACAAAGAGAAAAGTACTTGAGACTTAATAAACTAACACAATCAAAACATAAGTGTTGGTTTAAATAGAAAAAAAAATTAATAATAATAATAATCATCATAATAATTAGCCACAATCGAAATAAAACTGGTTTTGGATGGTTTTTAAATTTTACATAATAACTAATTACTATGTTAACTGAGTGCAATGCCTCAAACCATAACAACTATAGAACACACTCTTAAACAACAATCCCATTAAAATCTACATCCAAAGAGAAATTTAAATTTATAACCTCACAAACTACAATTGAATACCTCAAGAGACATTACATCAGATTAATATGTTACAAGCAGTCAATATTTGTTAAATATTCTTCTACAATATAATTCTTCTAATATATAACATTAACATATTGAAAATTTAATTATTATACATATTATCATAGTACTTATAGTATATCTATTTAGGATGTTATTGAAAATAAATCCTAAGCAGATATTTAATTATTAATATCAGGAAACAGAAACTATTACATCTGCATATTTAAGAAATAGAGAAAAATACAAGCAAACAAATTTGTCATTAACACCAAAGACACAAAGCTCTATCATATCAACTATATACATCTTTATGAACCAAAATTCTTATAAACAAATCAAAACACCAACAGAATAACTTTTTTAGCATAGCTGAAAAGCATATTGATTTTAAGCTATTACATAAGATACAAGAAACAGAATAGCACATAAATTTAACTTGTAAGTATATTTTATTATATTAAAATACTAGNCAGTTTTGCTCTAACATACTTTTGGAAATCCTTCTTACAATATTTCACAACATTTAAGTGCAAACTGCTTTATTCAATATTTTTTTTATTCAAGTAAGCATGTGTGTTATCTCAAATTTATCCATAGTTTTTAGAATATTAAAATTTTCAATTTGCTTTGTGTTTTTCATCAGGTTTAATGTTTCATCAGGTTAAAACTGATAGTACAATTTTTTTTCCTTGTTCTAGCTATCCTATCGACCGGGTGTTGTCATCATTGCTTTCAGACTTTGGCGCATAACACTGTCACCGTGATTTGTTTTTATACATTAATCTTTGTATTTAGTAAAAGTTTATATAAACATTTTTAGATAAGTGCTATTAAACTTTTTTAATTTTAGGTAAGCAATGATTCATAAAATGATGAACAAAATACGGCAATGTCTCAGTACTCGAACATAAATTCTGGAAAAAAAGTCACTCAATATGCGACCAAACAAATGTGACCTGCTAGAACAAATTTTTTATTAACAACATATTTTTATTTTGTCACTTATAAAAATGTTTTATGATAAAAATAACAAATATGAAAATGTTGCTGATATTTCTGATCGAGTTCAACAAAAAACCTGAGATGACAAGGATACTTTGTAAAAAGAAAAACCCTTGTTTAACCAAAATTAATATTAACGTGTAATACAGTACTTTTAATTGTGATTGTTAATTATTTATCGATTGGAAATAAATTATTGATTGCTTTAATAAACATATTTCTCTTAGTGACAAAAAATAATAATATACTTTTGCTAACTTCTGGAACATAACTCTATGTTTTGCATTACAGCTAGTTCTTTGTTTTGCATAGTATGGATTTGCATAACAGGGTACTTTTTCAGAATGTATCTATCATGTTATAAGAGGGATACCTGTATTTAATTATTGATAATTTGTCTAAATTTTAAATAATTATATATATACATTTTTATAAAAAAATTTTCCATTGTTTTAAAATGCACCTTTAAAATTGATGATAACTGTCAATTCTTTTAAATTTATTCATTACTTTATGTGCTTAAAAACTTTTGTAACTATTAATTTAAAGACTAATAATCATGCTTATGAAAAATAATATATCAATAACTATTATCACCTATCATTTGCTGCTTGACAATTCACATAACATAAAACTGATGAAAAATGAAATACTAAATTTTTAAAATAATCATATAATTAAGAAAACTATCAACTTTTGTACAAAGTTATTTATTTAAATTACTTTTCAACATAAAAAATCATTTAAAGAAGTGAAACTTATATTGTGATAATTTTTGCATTAATATAAACATTTAAATCCTTTCAAAAAACTGTTTAAATATACTGTCTTAGACTTAGAATATTTTTCAATTTATTCATTACACTAAACTTTAAAAATGTCATATACAATTAAATAATAACACTAATAAAAATTCTCGTACCAACAGAACACCATGAACTTTTTGAGCATCGGCTTTTACTTGAGCATTGCTGTAATTACAATTTTCAAGAGCAGCAGTCAAATGTGGCCAGTAATGAGTTAGGTGAGGATATATAATTTTTTCTGCTGTCTGTAAGCAAATTTAAGAAAAAAATTATAATCACCAGAAAACAGAATAATGTTAATTACTATCTATTAATATTAATGTCTATTGAAAAATTAATTATAAATAACAATTAAAAAAATGATTATACATACTTCAACTCCAAATGAGATTAATGCAACAACAGCACCATAATGAGAACAAAACGGTTTTGATAAATCAACAAATGATTCTTCAAGAGAACTAATTACATGATTCATAAGATCATTTGTAGGAGTTGACCATTCTCTGGATAACATATATAATTTATTAGTTTTAAAAAATAGATTATTTAAATATACTGCAAGAATGTAATATTTATACTTACTTCACAATTTGGACCAATAGCTGAGCAGCAGTATCTCTTAAGGTCCAATGATCATTTATAGGATTAATTGATGCAGCTAATGGTTCAAGTATGCAGTAGAGTACTGCTTGTACTAACAGATTTAACTAGGAAAAAATAATCCAAGTAAGACATCAAATTAAATAACAGTTATTAATATTCAATTTATACTCATGTATTGTAAACAGTATTTATTTACAAAAATATACATTATATGTTTTAAGTATCATTGTATTCTATATGCAGAATACAATGATACTTAATGTATAACTGAACACTGTAAATTATTCATATACAATTAAAAATGGTTATTATATTTTCAAGAAATTGATATTTTTAATAATTCTGTATAATATACCGTAACATAATAATACCAAAACATAATTTATATGCTTTAGTATTATTATGTTACGAGACAGCAATGCAGACGAGCAAATCGAGTTTGTAAAAAAAAACGACAAGAAAACCTTTAATATATTTTTGAATTAATTTTAGCAGTAAAAAAATGAAATCATATCAATAATGTTCTTCCAATAATATGTTGTATACCATTTTAACAGTGTCATTTACTAATATATATACATATAAATATATATAAATGCATAAAGGTGCTATTGTANTTGTAATAAATATGAAAAATTAAAATCAGGCATAAAAACTTTACAAAACTTTCGGAAATAATCCTCAAACCATATTTAGAAAACGAAACTACACATCACTATTACTTTATGAAAAATTTTATACATATATGTAAATAATATATAAAAATGCAGAAAGCAAATAAGAATCATTTAATTCAGTGTTTCTCAATCTCTAATGAATCGTCGCCCCCTTCAACATAGTATTGCCCCTTTCAATAAAACCGTTACGTAGTATCGCCCCCTTCACTTCAAAATTCCGATGCCCAGGACCAAGACTAACACCAAATTCATACTGCATTGAATAGACTAGTGACTAGTATAATGTTATTTGTTTAATTGTTGTACAATATAGCGAATAAAATATCTAATTAATCTTAATATAATGTTTTACAATATAACCCAGAAAATTGTTTTTTGCCCCCCAAAATATAAATTGTTACTAATCGTCCCCTCAACATGGAAGAACGCCCACACGGGGGCGATATCGCCCCCATTGAGAAACACTGATTTAATTAAACAGAATAAAGTCATATTCAAAGCTTACATGCACCAATCGAAACGTTCGAATTTAAAACTTTGAAAAAGTAGGATATCTCGCAGGCCTAAACAAGGAACTGAATAAAAAGCATATGGCAATAAATAAATAATATTAATTAAAACATTAAAAATTTATTTATTTAAATACTGAAATTATAAAAATTACAAAAGTAATAAACAAATACAATATAATAACAAAGAATATAAATAAATAGTGTATAGAATATGTAAAAAATGATGAAATGTTCAACTTAATAATTATTATTTTTACATATAACAGCATCATTGCTGCAATTATTTTCTTTGTAACTGATAAGTGTAATTAGTAATTATTTCAAATTTGCAATGGAATCATTCGAATTTTTTCCATTACATCCGACATTAAAGTCGAATAAATACTACACGAGGACTTAATATCGCATTTTGATATCAGTTTTATTTACAAAACTTCATATTTTCGTTACTTACAAATCAACGATTATTGTAAACTATCCGAGCAAACACTACGATATCCGATATAACTTCCGTTATTTATCGCTTCCAGCATTATTACTTTACGTAAATTAAAACTATAAAGCATTAGGCCAATTAATTGCAATTAATCTTTTAAATTACAATCGAAAAAAAGCCAACTTAGGCCTAACGATTGTTATTGTAACCACGCACGAGGACGTTCTGTCAACAACAAATGGTGCCCTTATTCGTTTCCATTTTTCTCCATTTCTTACAATTTTATTATAAAATTTATAAAATTAAAATCTTATAGAATTATACCTTGGAACTTTTGAAATGACAAACGACAGAAGTGGGGAAAACGTTTACACCGAAACCACGACAAACGAAAACGACGATCACACAAATCGACTTCGTTTTCCAAAACCGGTTGGAACTGGTTCCATGTGCAACGCTCGGCTATCGTCGGAAACCATTTAAAACTCACTTTTTTTTAATATTCCAATACGAAGTATCTATATTATTTTATAATATTTATTTTGAGAATTAATCGTAACGTTTTCGGTGCGATAAAGTTTAATTAATATTAGTTTTTTGTCTTCGGAAATTTCCACTTTGAAATAGGCACCGTCTGATTGGTCGCCATGGCTATGACGTAGGAGAACGAAATGTGTTACCCGCTAATGAGAAGGGAAAGAGTTACGTTCAATTTGGTAATAAATGGATCCTATTGAGTAATTAATAACGGAAATAAAGAATTAAACAATAAATCATGATACATTTGTATATTTAAATAAGTTTAAATCCGTAAAAGATAATTAGTTTTATTTTATTTTTTTTTACGTGTGTAATAGTTAACGGAGTAGAATATAAGTAATTTTTGTGGTTAATGTTATTAAAATTTTTTTTGATAATTAAAAATTATTTGGTTTATTTTATATGCATTTTAAAATAAGGGGAAAAATATTTAGATATTTTGTAATTTTAATAACGTAATTGTTCAGTATGTTTAAATATGCGGTCAAGGTGGCAGCCTACCGCTCTGGGGGATCCGGGATTGATTCCGGACGAGTCGAAATATCCCCAGGAATTTATCGGGAGTGGTCCATCCGGATATGTTTGGCTCCGTCCCTCATCACTCGGTCGCCCCATTGTGGGCCTGGCCGAATCCATAATGGGCTTGCTAAAAGAAGCCCTCTTAGTGCCCACAGGACGGAAAGAGTTAAAAAATAAAAACCTTATGGACACTAAGGGCGTTCGTTAATAGCAGTTGCTCTGCGTCTCCGCTACTACGAGAGTGTGCTGCTGCTGTTTGTAGGCATTTAGGAACGACGGTGAAAGATTTAATTTTGTTTTTAACTCTGCAGCGTCCGACGGCGCGCACTCCGGCGGGAATAAAGGAACGCATTCCGCAGGAATTTTTAAACTGATGCCACTCGCTCGGAATTACACGGAGGAATAAAAGAACGCACCCGAAGAGGGCCTTTTTCCATGCCCATTATTAATTCGGCTAAGCCTACATGGGGTCGGCTGGGTGATGAGACAGACCGCCCATAAAAAACTCCTGGGGTCGTTCTTCCGGATACTTCAGACCGGTAGGACGCTTTAATTGCCTCGGCCATCAGTCTGTTAATTTTGGCATGGAAAAAGGGCATCTTAATGACCACATGATAAAAAGAGCCAAAAAATTTTTTTAAATATCGTTAAATTTCTTAATTTTTATTCTAAGTAAAGAAAACATATTAATATTTGAAGTTTAAGTTTGTGAACTAAATATTTATATTCGGATTTTAAAATTTATTAATTAATTAATAGGTTTTTTTTTAACTCTTTCCGCCCTGTGGGCACTAAGAGAGTCTCTTTTTGCAAGCCCATTATGGGTTCGGCCAGGCCCACAATGGGGCTGCCGGGTGGTGAGGGACGGGGCCCGACATATCCGAACGGACCACCCCCCGAAAAATTCCTGGGGATTTTTCGACCCGTTCGGATTCGAACCCGGGTCCCCCAGAGCGGTAGGCTGCCACCTTGACCGCTCGGCCAATTAATTAATAGGTAATTAAATATACAATCTTCAAAACATTATTTTCGTTTTTTATATTTTTTTCCTTTAATTCCCTTTAACGAATATTCCGCCCTGTGAGTATAAAAAAAGCACTAAGAGGGCCTTTTTTCTTACTCATCGTGTGTTCGGACAGTTTCTAAAATGCCCGAACACAGGATCTAGCATGTCTGAGAAAACGATTCGAAAATTTCTACGAATTAATTAATACATAATTTTCCAGAGCGACAAACTGACGTCTTTGCAGATTCGTCATATGACCGCCTTCATAGGATAAGAATGAGTTGTTTTTTTTTTCGTTTCCTTTTCGTTAATAACCATTCAATAATCAAAACCGTAATTCATTCAATTTAAAACATTTAAAGTAATTTCATACGGTCAAACATTCGTACAAAACAAAAAAAAAAACCTACGTTACCTGCAGTTAGTTGGCATCTTTCTTTTTTAATATTAAATGTTATCAAAAAAGTTTTCTCAAAAGCTAATGTCTTAGCTAAACAAAGCAAAAAAAAAAAACAAGTTAATTTTAAGCCATACAAAACTTTAGACGTTAAAAAAAAACCAAAAATATGCTAAATCTGGCAATTCGCAATTCCATTCTCATTAGTACTGATGCCTATTAATTGGTCGTATGGATGAGCGGTTAAGATGGCAGCGTATCACTTTGGGTGATCCTGACTGGTCGAAAAATTCCAGGAATTTTTCGGGGATAGTCTGTCCGGAGGATATCCCGTCGGGAGCCTAGTCGGACTCATTGTGAACTGCTGAAAAAGGTTCTTTTAGTGCACAAAGGGTGCAAAGGGTTAACCTCATTACTACCGCGTTCAGAATACAGATATTTCAAATTCAGCACTCTTTTTCAAACAAAAGGTAATTATGAAGACAATCAATAATGTGGCTACAAATACAAACCTCCGCCTTTCTGACAAAATAAGTTTTAGATGTTATAAAAATGTATCAATATTTAAATAAAAAGTCCGCAATCATGCGGTTTATATTTTTATTTAATCTGAGAAAGTATATTAAAAATCGAATATTAAAATGAAGATTTTAAATGTTTTCCTCCTTAAATAGAAACACTTGAATGTTATTTAAATAAGAATTTAGATAATCTCAATAATTTCTAAAACAGAACCATTATTGGCTGGACATTTTGTCAATTTTTTAACTGCTGGTTTTTTTTAAATTTATCCATTAATCAATTCCTGTTTCCACTTCTCTTAATTCTAGAAGTCTCTGTCTTTTCTCTTCCAGAAACCTATTTCGTTGTTTAAGAATATAATCGGTGATGTTAGGCGTGTTCTTTATTAAGCAAGCAGCTAATGCCGAACGAAATATGTTCGTGGCTGTTGCTTCGTACCACTGATTAGTTGCTTCATTGTAACACTCGACTCGACACATGATATCCTCTCCATTAAATCCACCGATGGCAAATATCATATCGTCGATAACTTCTACAGCAAAGTTACTTCGTGCTGTTATCATATCGGGTACTTCTGACCACGTATTCTTACGAGGATTGTACTTGTCTACAGTTTTTAATCTTTCGGAGCCATTGAATCCACCCAGAGTGTACACGCAATCTTTGAAAGCGATGCAAGATACACCACTCCTTCGGCCTCTCATATTTGAAATTAGAATCCATTGGTTCGCCTGCGGGTTGTAGCGTTCGGCCGAATCAAGGTAGTGTTGTCCTGTAAAACCACCAATGATATAAATGAAGTCGCGTAGAGTTGTGGCATCTGCATCACTTCGTTCTACATGCATTGATGCAATCATCGTCCACTGATTTGTTCTATAATCGTATCTCTCGGCAGTTTTGTGACGGTGTTGCCCATTATATCCACCAATGGCATATATTAAATTGTCTAGTATGGCTACACTCACATAGCATCGCTTGCAATGCATCGGAGCAATCTCTTTCCATTCTTTGTTGATTGTATCTAAACAGCGGCATCCACTGCAATGATTCATTCCATCAAATCCACCAATTATGTAGATTTTATGATCAATTACTGCACATCCGTGATAAGCTCTTGGACCAGTAGGATCAACGTCACTTATCTTTATCCATATGTCTGCTCTGGGATCGTATGTCTCGATGTAATCGGTTGGAAAACCAGAATTCCATCCTCCTATAGCAAAAATTATTTCGTGAGGGATGCGAGGCAGACCTAAGTCTGGGATTAGAATTTCTTTGGATCCCTGGCTCATGGTATCTAAATCGTTTAGAAATTTTAATGTTTCCGTTATCAAAGGATAGCAATCTTCGTTTTCTGTGACGTATGGATGTATTTTCACAGTTGTCACGAAAAAATCAGAATCGAGACGGCCTAGACGAATGCATTTCAATAAGGTAGGCATATATTTCTTCCTTTCTTGTGTATTTATGTCTATCCAGCGCAATACCGTGTCCCAAACTAATTCCTCTTTAACGTTTAATTCTGCACAATTCAAGATTTTAACTAGTTCTTCACTTGTTGTTTGCATCAATTCTTCGTTTTGATTCGAGACTTCTGCAAAATTTCTCATTAAATATTGATGAGCTGATTGTTCTAGGAAGATATTTCTATAAGTTGTTCCTATGTTTTTAATAGAAATGCAATTTTTTGCGTCCAAATGATCTATCATAAAAGAGCAACATTCATCCATTAATTTTGAGAATGAATACTCATTGGCGGCAATGAAAACTTTGCGAACATTTTCTGCATTCAGTTCGATTTTTCCGCAATATATATAATCTACTATGCATTGAAGAATTTTTCTGTCGATACCTTTTAATTGAAATTCTTGTCTTTCATCTCCGTCTATTGTATTGGTGAATAGAATTTCAAAATACTGTGAATAAGCAGCCATGAGGCATTTATGCACTGGAAACTCTGCTCCTTCTTCTGTCTTAAGAATTGCATCGCAAAAAATGCCCGAATCTCTCATTTTCTTTATAATTTTTAATGAATTCTGACTGAAAGTTCTTCTTACTTTTAAAGACATTTTTCTTGTATCCTCTTAATTCTTAATATGTTAATAATGTTATTTACTCAAAACAATTGTTGTGATAATTGTAAATACATAACAATTGCTTTTGCGAATATTTTGCATAATTTATTTTTCAAATATCAACTAACTTATTTTAAATTTAAGGATGCAATATTTATCATACTTTTTAACATTGAAAAAGATTGTCTTTTCATCTACAAACTTTAGAAAAACGTGAAGTCCCTAGTGATAAAATTATCGATAAATTGGGCATTAGGAGGATCTTTTTAATCATATTCTTCGTCAGATTCGCAGTGGGGACAGCTGGATAGAGAGAAAGAACCCGATAAATTCCGACACTGACCATATAATTACATCAATAAATTTTGATTTAATTTTTGAGAGGTTTGAGAGGCAATTATATATTGATGCAATGGTGTATTCTATAAAGACAAAGTGTCTCATGATCGAGTCTGCAAGGCTACATATCTTAATTATTTTTACGACTATAATTTGAATTTTTCTACTCAATCCAGGGCTGCGTTGCCCCCCTCTGCGGATGTCCATGCTTGGAATTGAAAACAAATAAGATATTTGAGTATATTTAATAAACTGAAAAATGTGAATAACCCTAAAATATTGTGTTTGTGTACAATCTAATTTATATTGTATTATGGCATGGATTCTGCATCCGCTTATAATTTACGTAGTCCACAGTTGATTCCGAATAATTTTTCTTCAAATACTATTAATTAAAAGTTGAGTCAATATCTGATCACTTTAAAACTGAACGGATAATGTATCTCTCTTATATATAGAGTTTATTAATTTTCTCTTTATAAGTGTAACTATAAAATAAATATTGATCTTTTTCTGATTTAAATCTTGAAAATAATGTGAACCAAAGACTTGTAATTTCAACCATTTGCCCACTTAAACAAAAACAAACTTTTGTTTCTTGATGAGCTCTACTTTCAGAAAATTTAAATCCAACTTCACTGTGATGAATAAGTTAACTAATTTTGTCAAAAAGCAACTCTTGAATAGAATTATCGTTTGTTCCTGTTGGTTGTTGAATTCCTTTTTTCTATTTTTGAGATATCAATTTTTCTCTATTGACAATTTTCCATTTTTTAAATCACTGTCCATCATTATTTTATATCCATTCAATATTTTGAAACAAGTCAATCATTTTTAAAACTCTTTCGTTGATATATAAAGGCCCATCTTTACACCTTCACAAAGGCAAAAGTAAAACTAATATTACATGGTGTAAAAGCCTGCCTTCACATCATGTAAACATTGTTTTGCTTTTACCATTTTTTTTTATTTGCACATTAACTAAAATTAATAATCCTTGTATATATTATTCTTACATATACACAAGTAATATTAACATATTAAAAGAACAAATTTTTACTGATTGAACAAAAATATGTTTTTGAATGCAATCAAAACTTTTTCCCTTCAAATATTAACAAATTCATATTCAACATATACTGCTTAAATATTTTTATATAATTCAATGAATGCAATATTTTTTTAATGTATTAAATTATAGAACTTGTTTACATATTTCAAGAATTGTATTTGAAATTTAACTGAATATGAATGCCGATTCTAAATTTGCCTGTGGTTATATATACAGTAGACCCCCCCATATAGCACGGTAGATACGTTCTGTGTTTTATGAAATTCATGTTGTACGAGTCCTTAAATACATGAGCCAATCACAGCCCGGCACGTACGCAGTTTAGGGACTATGGCTGTTTGAAAGGCTTTCTTCCATAAAATTAATCGATTCTAGACTAATTTGACTCAACATTTCCAAAGCACGTATAATTTTTTGGGACTAATCCATATAAACTATGCTATAAACAAAAACTTGAAGGATTACTTACAGTGTGTGAACTGTTCGACAACGCCATTGCTTAAGCTTGTTTTTGTCGTGGAGCGGCGCATCGAATGGCAGGCATTATTTTTCTGCGAAAAATTTGCTGAACTTTGGAGACATCATTAAAATAAATATAATTTTTATGGACTTTAAATAATAAATGGTTTTTGAACTCAACGGTTTGTGCAATATCCGCTATTGGTCTACATTTGACCAATCCTGTCGCGACACGAGTCAGCGATGTTTTACCGTATTATACGAGTCTCTTTTAGCGTGTTTATACGAATACGATCGCAATTTTTTCGCCGTTATATACGAATCCATATTATATGAACCCGTTTTATAGGGGTCTACTGTATTTATCATCACTTTTGTTGTATTCTAATTTGTCATCTGATGATTTAGCAAAACCTTGTATTCTTTTCATAAATGTTCTATACTATAAAACTAAATTCAAAGCAATTTTTCAATATCCAAATAACAACAATTAGATTTTTAAATTGATTTAAAAATACAATTAGATTTAATTTTAATCAAACAAAATATATAAAAGCACATGGGATGTTTATACGAGTCCAAATCCTTAAAAAAAAAATATTAATGAAATTACAACATAAAATATATCTTCACATGGATATAACAGTATTTAAAGACATTAAAAACTGATTCAACAGATACAGAATTGCAAGAGTAACAAACAGTGTCTGAATTCATGACAAACTAATTTTGGATTCATTAGCATTTAGTACAAATGCTAACGAATAAACAGTTGTAGTTTATAAACTAGAATGTGAACTTTATTTATACACCAAGTTGCTGATAAACAAATAGAGAATTGAACAGTTTAATTACCTATACATTAAGTTTTTTAATTAGTTTATAAGTAATGTTAAAGGTAAGATATAGTCTGCAAATTATGTACTGTCCATAATTAGATTACATTTGCTTTGTATGAATGCAATTTACACATAACTAGCATCAATTTTTCAAAATTTGGATGAAAAAGATATTTGTATGTTTGTAAAAGCAAGATTTACAGGATTGTAAACTTAACATAATGACATAATATGAATGAGTTTAAACAAATATTAAAATATATTTTTATATGTAATTTATTATTCAAAATTCAATTATCTTATAAATTTATCATTAAATTTCCGGAAATAAATTTTCTTTGGTACAAAAGCTTTGGATTTATTTTTTTCTTTCCACTTTTTTTCATTTTTTGGCTTATACTTGCAACACTACTGAACTGCAAATGATCTTGAGATGTAGAAAAGAATTCTCTTCTTTTTAAGCAGTCTCGTTTTACAGGAATTCCACCTTCAAAATTAAATTCTAAAAATGAAGTATGGCATTTTGCTGGTGGATAATCAAATACTGGTTCATTTTCTTGTTGTTCTTTAGTTGGCTTGAAAATTTTCTTTTTAACTTTAGTATTCTTTGCTTCTTTAACAGGTTTATTTCTTCTTAATTTTGCTATTGTAAGCTTAATGCCTAATGTGGGATCACTAATGGTGCTTTTAATTTGCAAATCGACTGGGTCTGTTTCATGCTCATCACTAGAATTATCATCTCTCTCGTCATAAGAATTATCATCTTCTAAACTATTACTTTTCATTTCTTCATCTTTATCATAAAAAACTTCTAATAATTCTTCTCCAGATTGTAAAAGTTCTGGTGTAGAAAATAGATTAACTACAGGATATTCCTTTGGCTTATATATATTACCGATAGAAATATGTGGAAGTTTTATAGCTAAAGCATCACCAAAATAATCATATAATTGTTTATAAATATCTTGAAGCTTTCCTTTAGGCACAGAATCATTTTTATAATTATTTGAAGTTTTCAACTGTAAATCAGAATTTAGAGAATCAGATTCCATATCTTCTGTTACATCATCACATTTTGGGCCAAATTCTGCCTTCTGGTGAGCAAGAATAATAAGTTCACTTAATAACTACAAACAAACAAAACAGACATTAGTAAAAAGATTTGTTTGTATTAATTCAAAATAGTTTTCAAATTTAAATACATTCATTGAAAAAGTAAATACAAATAAAAGTCCAAATATGATTTTCTAAATATGAATAAAAATACATTGGATTTTTTGGAATAGAATATAATTTCATAATTTTGGTTAAAGAATTTTAATAATTTAATCAAAAATAGTGAAATTATAACAAAAAACAAAAAATTTAGAATAATTTGCTTTAAACTTAAAAATTATAATTAAGAGGAATAGTATAAAATTACTTATTTCAAGAATTTAAAAAGAATAAATTTAGAAGGGCTATTTATTTTTTCTAAAGATAGCAATAAAAAAAATCTAGAATTCTCGTATATTGGCTATTTTTCTTTTATTATATTTTTCAAAGAAGAATTAAATAATATTTTATAAGTCCAATATTACATGAGAAAATATCCAATTAAAAGCAAATATCTCACAAATATTGAGAAGGAATACAAATATATGACCATAGTACCTGATCTAGTCCAGTAACTGGTTATTTCTCTGTAAAACAGATGTTTTTAATCTTCTAACTTGTAAGATATTCTTCACATATTTTCAAAAATGGAATAGTCTAAAACACACACATTTCAAAATTCTACAAAATATATAGGATCTATGAAAAGATCACTGAAAAAAACAAATGGTGGAACACAGATATGACATAGCTCACAAGAAGAGATCCACATATGCATTGGATAATGATATAGCAAAATTAAATCAGGCCTTTTTGATAAGATGTGCTATCTCTACTGAACAACTTAGAGAATTGGAAGACCTTGATATGACAACCTTCTATATGCATCTGATTGGAGGTTTCAAATTTTGAAATACATTGTGTTCTTTACACTATTTTATTTTCTAATAATACCTGAAGATAACAATAGGAGATCAAAAACATTTGTTTTTACAATGAAACAACCAGTTGCCGGACTAGATCAAGGTACTGTGGTGGTATATTTGTATCTGATTAAATTTTGCAAAGTAATTATTTACAGGTATCCCTGTACAACACAGTACTTCTACAACATGGTTTCACTCTAACATGGTTAAAAAATTGAGGATAACTCCCGTACAACAAAGTTTCCAGTTTTGCTCTAACATACTTTTGGAAATCCTTCTTACAATATTTCACAACATTTAAGTGCAAACTGCTTTATTCAATATTTTTTTTATTCAAGTAAGCATGTGTGTTATCTCAAATTTATCCATAGTTTTTAGAATATTAAAATTTTCAATTTGCTTTGTGTTTTTCATCAGGTTTAATGTTTCATCAGGTTAAAACTGATAGTACAATTTTTTTTCCTTGTTCTAGCTATCCTATCGACCGGGTGTTGTCATCATTGCTTTCAGACTTTGGCGCATAACACTGTCACCGTGATTTGTTTTTATACATTAATCTTTGTATTTAGTAAAAGTTTATATAAACATTTTTAGATAAGTGCTATTAAACTTTTTTAATTTTAGGTAAGCAATGATTCATAAAATGATGAACAAAATACGGCAATGTCTCAGTACTCGAACATAAATTCTGGAAAAAAAGTCACTCAATATGCGACCAAACAAATGTGACCTGCTAGAACAAATTTTTTATTAACAACATATTTTTATTTTGTCACTTATAAAAATGTTTTATGATAAAAATAACAAATATGAAAATGTTGCTGGTATTTCTGATCGAGTTCAACAAAAAAGCTGAGATGACAAGGATACTTTGTAAAAAGAAAAACCCTTGTTTAACCAAAATTAATATTAATGTGTAATAGAGTACTTTTAATTGTGATTGTTAATTATTTATCGATTGGAAATAAATTATTGATTGCTTTAATAAACATATTTCTCTTAGTGACAAAAAATAATAATATACTTTTGCTAACTTCTGGAACATAACTCTATGTTTTGCATTACAGCTAGTTCTTTGTTTTGCATAGTATGGATTTGCATAACAGGGTACTTTTTCAGAATGTATCTATCATGTTATAAGAGGGATACCTGTATTTGATTATTGGTAATTTGTCTAAATTTTAAATAATTATATATATATATACATTTTTATAAAAAAATTTTCCATTGTTTTAAAATGCACCTTTAAAATTGATGATAACTGTCAATTCTTTTAAATTTATTCATTACTTTATGTGCTTAAAAACTTTTGTAACTATTAATTTAAAGACTAATAATCATGCTTATGAAAAATAATATATCAATAACTATTATCACCTATCATTTGCTGCTTGACAATTCACATAACATAAAACTGATGAAAAATGAAATACTAAATTTTTAAAATAATCATATAATTAAGAAAACTATCAACTTTTGTACAAAGTTATTTATTTAAATTACTTTTCAACATAAAAAATAATTTAAAGAAGTGAAACTTATATTGTGATAATTTTTGCATTAATATAAACATTTAAATCCTTTCAAAAAACTGTTTAAATATACTGTCTTAGACTTAGAATATTTTTCAATTTATTCATTACACTAAACTTTAAAAATGTCATATACAATTAAATAATAACACTAATAAAAATTCTCGTACCAACAGAACACCATGAACTTTTTGAGCATCGGCTTTTACTTGAGCATTGCTGTAATTACAATTTTCAAGAGCAGCAGTCAAATGTGGCCAGTAATGAGTTAGGTGAGGATATATAATTTTTTCTGCTGTCTGTAAGCAAATTTAAGAAAAAAATTATAATCACCAGAAAACAGAATAATGTTAATTACTATCTATTAATATTAATGTCTATTGAAAAATTAATTATAAATAACAATTAAAAAAATGATTATACATACTTCAACTCCAAATGAGATTAATGCAACAACAGCACCATAATGAGAACAAAACGGTTTTGATAAATCAACAAATGATTCTTCAAGAGAACTAATTACATGATTCATAAGATCATTTGTAGGAGTTGACCATTCTCTGGATAACATATATAATTTATTAGTTTTAAAAAATAGATTATTTAAATATACTGCAAGAATGTAATATTTACACTTACTTCACAATTTGGACCAATAGCTGAGCAGCAGTATCTCTTAAGGTCCAATGATCATTTATAGGATTAATTGATGCAGCTAATGGTTCAAGTATGCAGTAGAGTACTGCTTGTACTAACAGATTTAACTAGGAAAAAATAATCCAAGTAAGACATCAAATTAAATAACAGTTATTAATATTCACTTTATACTCATGTATTGTAAACAGTATTTATTTACAAAAATATACATTATATGTTTTAAGTATCATTGTATTCTATATGCAGAATACAATGATACTTAATGTATAACTGAACACTGTAAATTATTCATATACAATTAAAAATGGTTATTATATTTTCAAGAAATTGATATTTTTAATAATTCTGTATAATATACCGTAACATAATAATACCAAAACATAATTTATATGCTTTAGTATTATTATGTTACGAGACAGCAATGCAGACGAGCAAATCGAGTTTGTAAAAAACGACAAGAAAACCTTTAATATATTTTTGAATTAATTTTAGCAGTAAAAAAATGAAATCATATCAATAATGTTCTTCCAATAATATGTTGTATACCATTTTAACAGTGTCATTTACTAATATATATATATATAAATATAATTCTGTATAATTAACTATCATTCATATTTATTTATTTACTATGTAGCTAATAGAAGTTGTATATTGCAGTAAATTAAATAAGACTTACATATGGTTTTGGTCCAAGATATAATGATGGATTTCTAACTAAAGAAAATACTGTATGCAGAAGTTTAGTTAACTGAGTTAAATCATGACTCATTTTCTTAACCTTTACAAATAACATACATGGAAAAAAAAGATTTATAATGAAAACAATAAGTATAATTTTAAAAATATTTGTATAAAGATTAAATAACAAAAAGCCTTACCCCAACAGAAACAAAATTTACAAGATATGGTAATAATGGAGCTATTTTTGCATTTGTTCTCAAATCATTAAGAGCAATCTACAAAATTTAAAATTAATTATTTTATAAATGATAATTATTTATAAAAATAAGAAAAAATATTTAAGTCATGCCTACATTTAATAATTCTTCATTGTTACCTAAAATAGCTTTTGTAACTTGTTCATAATATGCCATTAATTCTTCACTGACCAATGTTTCTACATGTCCGTTTTTCTTATTTTGTACTAGAAACAGAGGAAATGATCATATATCAATCATTTATATATATAGCAATGTACAGTAAGACCCGCTTAACGTGGGGGATGCATTCCTAGACGACAAAGCGCTAAACGAAACAGCATTAAACGAGGTCATTTTAACATAGAGTAAATAGGAATAGGGGAACACGCAACAGAAAATAAAAAAGTTTTACTTTAATTTTAAGTTATTCTTATATTAATTTGTATAAAAATATATGTTAAATAACACACAAATATATGCACACAGAAATGTATAATAATATATTAATTAGTTCATTTTTTCTATATTAATAGTTCATTTTTTGTGACGAAGGTCCTGACTTTTCTAAAATTCTGGTTTTTTTGCAATAATGTCATGAAGTTTCATTTGTCACTTTTTTTTTTTCTTTCCTTAAGCAAATGTTGGTAGCAGAAGATCACATCCAAAATGCCTCATTTTGCTTTTGCCTGCACTCCTTTCAAAATTTGGATCATTCCCTACAATTTGATCAACAATTTCGGTTATTGTTACCAAACTTTTATTAAGGAAATCTGTAGAGAAATTTTTTGGGTTCTTTGTTTTCAGAATCACTGTTTTCCAGTTCTACATGGATTCCTTGTTCTGCCAGTTCTTGAAGGTCATCGTTGATAAGACTTTCACCAGAAACCTGCTGTGAGGCCGGGACCACACACCCCCTTGGACGGAAACCAGCTGTTGAGCTAAAGTCAATATATCGGTGACTTATTACGTAAATAGGACCGGTGTGACCAAGGAACGGGGTGCGAGATGATTTAATTGTCGCATTCCAGACCTAATTGACAGATCCGCAATCGTCAATCGTGAGAATGAGTGAGGGATCGACCGTCGAAGAAACTTTGGATGATTACCTTACAGAGAGTTCAAAGCAAGTCCTGCTGACACTCCTGTGGAGGGGGCAACAGCTGAGACAGCTTCCTCCTCTCCAGGACAGAAAAATAAACATTAGGTGAAATTTACAGGACCATCATCCGGGAAAGGGCTTGACCTGACTTCAAAGAGGAACAGCCCGGACGGGGACATTCAATGACCCCTCGGCCCGAATCGCATCCCTGGCAACAGACGAGGGACCAATAGAATTGCAGGGGACCAACCTTCGGACCAACCAAAATCTCGAAATTTCAGGGAGAAAAAGATTATAAAAGCCCGAAATCCCAAGGACACAGGGAGGTTGGGAGCAAATAGTCTGGACGACACAGCTCGGAACTACAGGGATTAAAAGGCTAAAAACGAAGTATGGCAGAAGAGTAGGGACCGAACTTCCCATCGTAAAACTCTTCAAGTTCCGAAGTAAGGAATAAACTTCCACCGGAACACCGTGGACGCTGTGATTCTTGTGCTACGTGGCCCACTTCCTCCTCCAGCCTCCGAAAAGAAAAATCTTCGCTGACCTACGCAGGAGAACCCTTTACTGTTGTGTGACTCACATTCCTTCAGGAAGGACACTCCATCGTTTGGTACGATACCGACCAGTGTTACGTTTGTAAGCATATTTTTAGTTCAATAAATGCGTTAAATTGTGGAAAAACTGTCTCTGTGTGAGTCTTGGTGTCCAGCAAACCACTACCCCCATACTGAAAAGGCTTTCTCGTGTCATCCTGACCGATCACGGGTAAAGCGAGGGTCGTAACCTTTCACCTTAAGGGCGACCTCTGTGCGAATTAAGGTTCGGGTACACCACATCCTTAAAAAGGGGACTATCCTCACAGTGGTGTCTCCCCCAAGGGCGTCCTCCTTACACTGCAGTAACTCCTCAATATCCTGTTCGTCTACATCTCCTAGTCCTGCTGTATCGATTAGGGTGAGTTTGATCAACGTAACAATACAGCAATAGACTCTTCTCGTTGAGAATTCTTGGATACCTTCAGCCATAACTTCTTCCACACATCCTCCGTGCATTTATCAGTTAATTCTTGCCAAGTGAAGTCTATATTTCCTATGGCATCCATGATGTTATATTTTTTCTAAAATTGCACCAAACAAACATAGCTTTAAAGAAAGTACACTTTTTTGCCTCCTTTTTCTGATTGGTTTGTGTTCATCAATAATCATATTATGTATGAATCAATAAAATGCCGCAATAATTTAAATCAGCGTAAATTTTGAGCTTTTTTTAGGCTTCGAGCAGACGGTGTTATATCAAATCAGCGTTAAGCGGGGTCTTACTGTATTTATATTGGGTTGTTTCAAATGAAATAGCCATTTTTTAAAATTTAACCTTTCCGGCTGCATAGTTCAACTTTTTTCCACATGAACAGTGCTGTATGTTTGTAATTAGAAGAGCACACATATAATATATGAATTTAAAAATGTAATCTCATTTATATTGTGAGGTTTAAGAGATTCCACTTTATCTGTTGGCAGGAACATAAGAGCCAAAAAACCTCGAAATACCAATAAAATTTTTGGTGAAGGTTCTGTGAGTGAGCAGGCCACCAAGCATTGATCAAAAAAATTTCATTCTGGGAATACAAATCTCAAAAATCAAAAGTGAAGATCATCATCAAATTAGAATCTTGCCCGACTGTCCAGTAAATTGTGGAAAGGTTGAACATATTGGACATTAGATGACAAAAAACGATTGACTGAACATGTTAGGGAAAGTCAAGAAGCTTATCAAATGAGTACCACACAAACTCAGTGAGAGATAAGGAACACCATTTGGAGGATTAATTATTCATCACAGAAATGAAAGTATTCAAATGAAATTCTTCCCCATCCACATGTACTGTACATAAATACATAAGTACACATGCACATGTAATATAAATGAAAGATATATTGTACAAGACAAAATAATTAACATAGTTAATGAACTAATCATGCATCTTAATCTCAAAGAAAAATTACTTTCTACATTATTTTATTATGTTCTAATGTCTTCAAGATTCTTTCAAAAACACATTAGTAACAATGAACATTGTTGTCATCATATACTTGTCTTATAAATTCATGAATTTCAATCACAGATTGATTAAGCTTGCAGAAAAATTTAATATTTGCTCTTTGCTATAATTTACAAGTAATGACTTGCACAATATGAAATTTCTGATATTACACATAAACAATGAACAATATAAAAATGAGCTTCTGAAGGAAAGTAAAGTCAACAGTCATAGATCTGGTAAATTTTATTCTATAGACTTTTTATACACTTATAATAGATTTAATTCCTAGAATTTAACTGTCAAATCATACATCAAAGTTAAAATATAATATGTAGTCATTATCTTCAATTACAAAATAAATATAGCTAAATTTGTTATGAATTTATTTTATTTGAGTTAAATTAGTGGAAAGTATTAGAAACTTTTTCTGTTATTGATTTAAAATTAACTTCATGATGTATGCATTCTTGTTAAGATTATAAAAGAATTTTGATGAACATTAGTAACAATTTTTTTTTAGCTGCTAGTTTTATGAAATTATTCTAATTTTCAAATTCACTTAAATTAAATTTCACAAAAAACTACACAATTTTAAAAATAGTTATATATATAAATTATATATACATTAATTTTATTAAATGCCTAAAAATTACCATTGGAGGGAGGGAAAATAATAAAAAATTGCTGGTAACATACTGAAGTCTGCTCACATTCAGCTTGATAACATAACCAAAAAACACATTTTAGAAAATATCAATATTTAACTAATTGTTTTCTGAAGTTTTAATTTTTTCAAGTTGTCGTAAACAGAGATTGATTTAGTTCAATGGTATATTAAATGAAATGTTACAAAGTTATTCCAAACTTAATTACTTACAATTTTTAAACAGTAATTATAAATATGTTTAATAAATAATTAAATTAATGAGTTCTTAACTATATTGTTACCAATGAATTTTATACTTCTATGATATTATATTAATAATTAAATCAGTTTCTCATCAAAGATAGAGTTGCCCAATTATTAACATTTTTTGATGATGATGATTTAAATCATACTACCTCAATGCAAAGACATTATAAGCTTGAAATCAAATTTTAAGGTTTTTTAAGGAGGTAAAAATTTGTTAGCAACAAAACTTGGGGGAAATCTGTCTAAAGTTGAACTTTTTATGCTAGTATTTCTTTTTGTCAGATGCAATATTATATCTTTTTACCAAATTACAAAAAAGTATCATCTAGAATTTGTAAAAATGATTCCTGCTTAGATATCTTTTATTTATTATTCACTGTAAACTAGTAGTTGATTTACAACAGAGATTTTTTAGTAGAAGTTTTGACTGAAAAACTATTAAAAAGAATTGTAGGTAATAAATATGATTGTTATAAATTATTCTGTTTTATGCTTTTATTTTCTGATTAGGTGGAGCTGTTGTCTAATTTATAATTATACACTTGTGTTTTGGTTGTATTGAAATTTTGGAGATGAGGGGAGAGATGAGGTCAGGTGTCATATCTTGAGTGGAATTGAATTTAATGATTTTATTGTTATTAGCATTTACAATTTTTTTAAAAGCAGGGTTCCATACAGGTAATTTCAACTGTGATTCCTTGACATTCCCTGACCAATTATAACATTATTTCCTGACTTATTGACATCTCTGCATTTCCCTTTCCATTATGTAATATGTGGCCAAGTCTATTTAAGCCCAATTTGTACACAAATTATATAAATTTTTTATAAAAAAACATTATTCACTTACAAAAAATGAAAAACTTCATGTAAAATTGATTACATAATTAGCTACGTCATATAAAAAATTTTATGATTTAATTTAAATTAATTTGTAAATTTTATTTAAATAAGAAAAAGATTTGTGTTGTGTTGTAAAATCAAATTTTCTTAAAGTGAGGAGGAGGTAAATTCAAAATAATTTACATAGAAGAAAATGCTTATTGAATGCTATTTTTGCTCCAGCCTGAACCCATTAAGGTCATTACATTTCTTACCATCCCCCCTGAAACTTATAGTGAGAGTGGCAGAGTTTTGGCAGAAAAGCAAGTCATTGTAGATGGTGTTTTTGAAAACCTGATTTTAAATTTATGGCGATATTTTGGTATACTTCTGAAATTCCACAAGCCATCTGAAGATAAAAATTTGCAGTTAGAGAGAAGACATATCACAAATCATCAATCTGTCATAATTGACAGGATTATTATCTCCACATACTGTATGTGGCCAGAAGCAAAGAATATAATGAATAAAAACACAAATTGTGCAAAGTCCATCACACATTCTAAAATGTCCTGTACACAATATCGTTAAGCCAACTGACAGTTTGCCTTCTGACAGCATCAACCGACTGCAATGAGTTAACCAAACATTGCACAAGTAAAAAAAAATTGGAAGGGTTATGTACAAGACACAATCGCAATTGTTTAACGCGTGAATCCATCTTTGTGTTATCAGAAGGATAAGATGTAAACAAATAAAGTCTTAGTGGTTATCACATTCCAAGTAAATATCCATCAGTTCAAGAGGTAGTGTACTTGAAATGTTGTCGAAGTTGACACATTATTTTCTTATACTCTCTACACAATCTGCATTGTTCGGCATTAGTCATTCCGGGCTTTTCTGATTCCTTTAAAATTTTTCTTTCTAATGATATACATTTCTTACATTACTGTTCATATTTCCTTTGCAATTTCTTCCATATTATGAAAATTTTCTTCAACCCACACACTTATCAGCTTATAACTTTACAAATTCTATTTTATTGGTTATTATTGCTAAATATTCTTGTGTATCTTGCCATTCTAATACAAATCAACACCAATTTCAATGTCCTGTATCTTTGTGATTCAAAGTTTCACTGCCCAAACAATGTACTGCATCACTGTTTTTGATGTTTACAGGCAATTGCTACCTCTCTCCTGCACAGATGCACACACTCCACTCCCACCATTTTAAATATGAACTCAAACCTTCTATCCAACAAAATTTAAATTGTTAAGTTATCATTTTTAGTTTGAGATATAAGCATGACAAATCTTGCTATTCTTTTAGTCGCTTAAGTTTTCATAGACCTCCCTATATTGAACTCAATTTAAAGACGTGTTCAGAACAAAAAGGAGAGAGTGTGACAGATTGATTCTATGGTATTTGCAATTCCCCAACTTATTCTGCTAAAAATTTTATTTCCTGACTTTCCAGGTCTGTATGGACCCTGTATAAAACTCATCTATACCCTCAAAATTAAGCTTTTGCCATTTTTTTATAATTATTAATATAAAAAATATTTTAAAATAAAATCTTCTAACAGATGGCACTTCATACAATTTTAACTTTTTTTGCTGGAAAAATTATCCAACTCATTGCCGGATTTTTTTTTAATTATAAGTTTAAATGTATTTAATTGTAATTGAATATTAATGTTGTTAAGTTTAATTCTGTAATTAGTTCATATTGGATTATATTTGATTAAAGCAATGTTGTCTCTACCTACAGTTATTTTTTGTATTATGTTCCTGCATCAGGAATAACATCCAGGATGCTATTTAAATAAATAAATAAAATAACAACAAAACTTAATAAAAGTAGTTAAGTAACAAGTTAAATATGAATAGAAATATCATGAAACAAACAATGTTTGGCAGTTCTATTTCCATGTTCTTCTAATGCAGTATTAAAACAATTACTATTCATTTTTAATGCAGCATCATAAAGTCATTTTAAATGTTAAGAAAAAGCTTAAATTAAATGCTCATTATCAGCAAAACTCATTTGAATTGATGTGAGCATTGAGCAATATACTCAGCAATATTTCTATTATTAGTTCATAATGCCCAGCATGGTCACTACAATGACTGCTGACTGTTATTTTCAACTGCAAATGTAAGATTCTGTCAATTCTAAGATGCATCTCTACTTCAGACAAAGATGGATTTAAAAAAAAAATGTCATAGAATTGAGGAAATACAATCATTTTTACTAATAATTTGGAATTTGGCTTAATAACATTTTAAATACTTTAATTTGTTAAACAATTTTCAAATAATAAAACTTAATTTTTAAATAAAATTTTTTAAGAAGAAAAACACAGCCTGAATAGAATTCTTTTTTGAAAAATATAGATATTTTTCTTACTTGAATTTTGGGATAATCCACATTTTGAGACACCTTCAACTGCCAGCCAATATGCTGAAATAAGCACCGTTAAATTTAAAATATATAAATAAGTGTGTATTGTTTCTATCAGCTTATTTTTAAATACATTTTATAATAACAATTTATAATCTAATTTTTCTAGAATAGATAAACTGAACAGATTGTTATTGACCAAAATATATTAAATGAAATGTGTTACTAATAATTCTGATGTTCTTTTTTACATTAGACTTAATTACATATTTTCCATTCAACATAGCCTATGTTAGCCATTGACTTATAAAATGCAGACAGGACATCATTTCATAAGGATACTTATAACATTATGAGATAGATTTTAACTAAATCGTGAAAAATAAGAACACTTTGAGGTGCATATAGTATTAAAATGTTAGAATTTTTCACTTGTTGGGAATCAAATAAAAAATAGAAAGTAATTTTCTTTAACATTATGTATATGAAGAATTTTTTATTTTCAAATGTTTATTTGAACCCCTTCCAACCTAGATAATAAAATGAAAATTAGTTAATGAAATAAAGACAATTAGTAGGTGTTTTTGAGATACATGAGGAAGAGCCTGCAAGAGCATATGGTGAATTCAATGTTGAAAATAAAGAGTTTTTAGTTTATAGGAGAGAAAATTGAATTAACCTCAGTTGATTTTCAATTGAAAATTTATTGAGAAGTTATAATGAATTACAAAAAATTTGTTCAAAGGGAATTTTCATTATCAGACATAACATTAAAAATATTAATAAAAGAATTATTAGAAGTATTAAAACTTAAACTTAAGTTTTACAACCATGTAGTACAGTACAGTACATTCTAGAACGGGTGTCCAACCCGAGGCCCGCGGGCCGCATGTGGCTCAAGGCAAGTTCCAATGCGACTCAAACAAAACCAACAAATTTATTTATTTATTTATTTCAACAGCATAAACTCAAAAAAGAAGTTTCAAAAAGCCATAAACCTTTATACATAATTTATTTTTGAGTGGAAAGGAAATATTTTCAAATACTTGGAAATGTGTGAATGAGGAAGATATACTAAATAAAGCTGGAGTTATGACTCAAAGGAGTATAGACTCAAATTCGGGGAAAGGAGAAAAAAGGCTAAAAGATAAAAAGTAGTGAGAAAGGTTAAATAGACCTTCTGTTATGCAAATATTGACCCTTAATTTTCCAATCTTTCTCACTATTTTTTATCTTTTGGCCTTTCTCTCCTTTCCCCAAATTTGAGTCTGTACTCCTTTGAGTCCTAAATCCAGCTTTGTTTAGTATTCCTTAAAGCGTTGCAAGATTTGGCTACTTTGCACCAAATTTGGCTACCCTTTCTTAGTTTCGTATAAAAATATCATTTGGCGCATTGGCTACTTTTTGGGCTACATCTTATTTATAAATATATTATTTGAATAAAAATGCACTTTAAAATGGTGTTTCATCATTTTTTATTAATTAGAGACCCAAATAAAACAAATATTTGTGTTTTTCAAATAAATTTTTGTTTATCTCCTTTATAATAAATGAATTTATCTATTTCTAAGTAAAAACTGAAAGTGTCTGTAGAAGTAATTTTTTAAAATAACCGTAAATTTCGTAATAAAGTTTAATACTTATTACTATAATCTAGACATGTGGGTCAAAATATACTTGTGGCCCAAAACTCCATGACTTCTTCCAATGTGGCTCAGAGAAACAAAAAGGTTGGACATCCCTGTTCTAGAACTTTTCAAACTCCAAATTTTTTACTTCCTCTTGCAGGCATATGTCTTCACCTATCTCAGAAACTAATTGTCTTTATTTCATTATCTGATTTTCATTTTATTACCTAGATTGAAAGGATTCAAATAAATCTTTGAAAATAAAAAATTCTCCACAGACACGGTATTAAAAAAAATCACTTTTTATTTTTACTTAATTTCCACTGAGTCAAAAATTCTAATATTCTAGTATTACATGTACTGTACAGTACCTCAAAGTGTTCTATCATTTCTCACAATTTAGTCAAAATCACAATGTTATAAAAATTCTTTTGAAAATTATGTCCTTTTAGCATATGAATTTTCAAATAATTTTGAAATATTTTGGATCAGGAATCAGCAATCCTTTATGACTACCATGCAAAAGTAAACCAATGCAATAATTTGGCATGCCAATTTTATTTTGCAAAAAGATTTATGCCTAATCTTCTAAGATTCAAGGAAAGTACAATACTCAAATGAAGATCATCAAGAATCAAACCTAACCCATTTTTAAAACATTTTTAAGACAATAAAAACAAATTAATATCATTTTATTAATGATTTTATTTATGAATAAGCCTTCTCACAGAAAACTACCTGATACTGAAGGAAAAGAAACATATATAATGTACTGTACTTTTATCATTTAATCAGAAGAAAATTTAAACAAAATTCATATTTCTAGCATAATTATTCAAATAATAATTGTTAGTAGTAGTAAATAAGTATGAAAAGAATAATGAATTAGTTTTCCATGTTACTTATTATCATGAGTATAATTAAGATTTACATGATTTTTAAATCATAAATTCACACAAAGCTTAAAGCTTCATATGTGAGTAATGTATTAAAAAATGTTTAAGTTATACAAGTCTACTAATAAGGTCTTGCAAATACAATCAAATCTCGGTGTAATAATTGTCAATATAACGATAAATCCCTATACAGCGATAGATCTGTTTATCAAATACATTTTTTTTATTGTTTACTTAAAAAACACACATTATTTTTCCCTACAACAATAGTAATACAGTAAATAAATTTTAATTAATACCACGCTCGTTTTTGGCAACAAAACGTGCACTACCACGAACGTTACGATAGTCTNTTAAATAATAAAAAACTTCATAAAAATATGGAGTTTTATGAATCAAAATTAGTAAAGCTCTTCCATTGTCCTTATTTTTGAAATTTTCTCTAATTAGAAATAAATTACAATGATGCTTTTAACTATATTTATGATACATATATGATTTTGTATCAGTGGTTAAAAAATTAAAAATTCAATAACCTTTCACACCAATCTCTCCAGGCTGTTCTGCAGTAGTATTAGTCGTTGCTAAATTAACTAAATTAACTTCATTTTCTTCAACAGAAAAGACATCAGCCTCTTTAATAAATTTCATTGGTAGAGGTTCTGAGCTACCATATCCATATAATAGCTAAAGAAAAAAATTTATTAATCTACTAAAGTAAAATAGAAAAGTAAAGAATAGAATTAAACTCACTTCAACATCATTCCATCTCAAAGTCCTGTTAATATCCTCAACACAAAGTTTTCTTCTTTTAGCATGCCTCATGAATTGTCCTGCATTCTATAAAAATTCAAATATGTAATTAAACTCAACAACCCAAACATCTGGATATACATAAATAAGGGATCATCAAACTACGGCCTGCAGGATGGATCTGGCTGGCGAGGTCAGTTTATCCGGCCTGCCGCCGCACTGTGCCACAAATGAAGTAAAATGTAATTATTTATATAGAAATATCATAGTTTGTAGATAAACTTACTATATAGAAAAAATAAAAATAAGTGTAAGTAAAAATGTCAGAAGTGGTTCAATCTGATTTTTGAATTTGACAATAATATAATTTTTTGAGAAAATCAGTGAAATAAAAAATTTGGCAACTTCATGCAACTTTGGATATCAGAGTATTTTTTGTGTAAACTTGTTAAAAAGTGCCCCTGGGCAATGAAAGTTTCAAAGAAAAGAGATTATGAGAATGCTGCAGCGGTCGTGTTTGTGTATTGGTAAATAAATATGTTTGTTTTCTTTATTTTTTGTGTGTTCAGTGTACTGTATTGAACAAAATGGTTATGCGGCCTGTGCTCGTCATTCTCTTAGTTATCTGGCCTGCTGTGAAAAAAGTTTGGCAAATCAACTTAAATTAAACAACAAAAAACCCAGCATGTAAATGTTAATAAATGACATCAGTTTTTATGTTGGATTTTTTAGGCTTCATAACTGTTCTCTTCACACATCTCAAAATCACATGGCAGAGTGACTTTGTTGTGCCATCCTACGGGGCACTTTTTAACAAGTTTTACATATTGAAGGATAGAAGAGCCTCAAAATAAAGGTCAACTCCACTATGTGACTTCTTGTGTTTCTGATATGTATGAAAAGGATGAATCAACAAGATATCATTTTTTTTTTTTTGTATTATGAAGGGTTTCTTGTAAATTTTGATTATATATTTACCATCCTGGATATTTTATCACCAATATATAAATCTGATTTTATTAAATTTAAAATAAATAAGTTTATGTATTATCCATCTCAATGAATAAATGCTTACTATTAGAACTATTAAATCAGTATCTCATAACACAAACATTTTTCATACTTCCCAGTTTGGACTTGCTATTGTTTCTTTACATAATTTGGTTAGTTAGTTAGCTAGTTGAAGTTTTCTTTTTTTGCACAAGTGCCATATAGGCCAAGCTGCACAAAAAGTGAAACTGTATAAATATATATTCTATAAAATACTACATATAAACTCAATAACAATACAAAAAACAAGAAATAACAAATAAACAAAACACAGTATTTACATAATTTGGTCTTGATTTTATCAGACAACTGTAGAGATTATTGCAATGCCAATAAGAAATAATGTATTGGAATCCTCTATAAAAATATATTTGTTGTCTAAATCATTGAGAAATTCAGTTCTTAATGAGTTTTGGAAAAATAAAACAAAGTTTTTATTTGGTAATTACAGTAGAGCGTCGATTATCCGAATCAATTGGGGACTGGGGTTGTTCGGAAGATTGATGTTTCGGATAACCGATTATGTACGAGAAAAAGTATTAATTTATCCCATCTTGACATTTTTCTCCGTTGTGTGTCACTTTGCGTTGAATTTTCGTCGATGTTAAGCCTAACAAAGACTACTGTATCGTTAAAAATTATTTTTTTATTTTATACAAACAAAATAAATATATTGAAAAATATAAAAACAATAAAAAATTATACTTCAGAAGTTAATTTTTGCTTTTTTCAGAAGTTGCTTTTCTGCAATCATACATTGGGCAGCAGTTAATTTTCAGGAGTCACCGCTGTTTGTGGTTGCCCTTCACATGGTTTATTGTGGAAGGAAGTACAACCCCTCTGAAATTCTTTCTACCACCTGAACACAATAATAAAGGATCATCCTCAAAAGTCAATTTCAATTGTTCATAACAGTCTGTCATTCAGTTCAGCCCAAAAATCATAGTAAATCATTTTACAAAGTGCTTCTCTAAAAAGTTCCACTTTATGACTGTCCCAGACATCAAGAATGGATCCATAAAGATGATCCAATTCCAACAACTGTGAAAAGGCAGAGAACAATAAAAAAGTCACATTTCCTGTTTTTCCATAGCACTGGTCTGGTGAAAGCAATTAAGGTTGAAAAACAGAAGACAGTAACAGGTTATTGGTACACTACAGTTTGTCTTCCTAGAATTCTAGACACTGAAAATTCAAAGTCTATTTTGCATTATCACAGACTGCCAAACAGTGTGTTGATTTCTTTCAAACTAATAATATCAGAATCTTTGAACATCCACCATATTCACCAGATTTGGCAATGTGTGACTTTTGGCTATTTTTTTAATCTCATAAAAGCATTTGAGAGGTTACAAGTTTAACACACAGGATGAAATCAAAGTTTCCATGATGGAGTATTTCAATAGCATTTCAGAAAATGAGTGGTGTTGTGCTTTTCATCTTTGGAAGGAGCAACTACATAAGTGCATATGGCCAGAGGAGAGTACTTTGAACTTAAAATATTTTGTTTAAAGCCTTATAGTGTTCCTGTAATGCAAAACTTTCAGTCATCCCGTATTTCACACAAGATAGAGTTTTCATACAATCTGAATACACACCAAATTTTTGAGATAGCTTTTTTTCAGTATAAAGAGAAAACAATATCCAAATAAAACTTATAAGAACAAATCTCCTGTGCAACAGAACAAGTTTTCTTTCTTTGTTTTGTTTATGTACAGGGAAATCTTTACATCATGTGTAAGTTCGCCGACTTCCAGGGGGAATCATTAATCCTGCGTCAGGATGATCTAGGGTAGTTCGCGTGTGGGTATGGCAGAGGAGACACAGATGACAAGAATTTCACAAAAACCTGTTTATTTCAAACATAAAATAACTTACACTATGACACAAAAATGTTCTTTATACAATTGGAGGTTTGAATTGTCGATTGTGTTTCTAATGTTGCTCGAAGGAAGGNATTCCCACTCTTCCACGACCTATGCTGTACAACAAGAATTAGCGTATATTAGAGATGTCGCTAAAGACCACGGTTATGGCAACATAATAAACAAATTATGTAATCAGCACCTTCACATAAATAGTAAAACAGATGAAGAAAAGACATCAGGAGCAGTTGATAAAGAACATATGGAAAGGGTCCCAGTAACGTACAACTCACAAATGAAAACGATATATAATTCAATTGCAAAGAAAAAAGGAATTAGAATTACATAAGAAGAAACCCTTCCATATATAATTTATTAAGAAACGGAAAAGACGCCCATAACCCAAACAGGCTACCGGGAATATACACCATTCCCTTAATGGACGATAGATGGCAAAGGCAACTAATTTACATAGGGTCCACTAAACGTTTGTTAGCTACTAGAATAAAGGAACATAAAGCAGACATCACCCACAACAAATATACGACAGCATTGTCGACATATGCAACAAACCCAGACATAACCCCGATTTTTAATGAGGCACGGGTCATCCACACCACTCGTCATCATGAACATCTAAGAACTTTGGAAGCGATGGAAATTTACAAAGCAGATCGCAAACTAACCTGCATCAATCTTAAAGAAGAAATAAATCTCTCAACAGCGTGGCAGTATTTATTGGATGATGAATTGTAATTTATTATACGATACTCCAGATTATTATGGGATGCGCACATCGTATATCCACTAGTTAAAATTATTTTTAGAAACGGCACGTGATTATAAAATACGCGAGATTATTATAAGATGCGCACAACATACCTCCACGAATATAAATTTATAAAGAAATTATAATTCGGAAAGGCACGTGATTACCTTCCTTATTTGAACTTCTAGTAACAGAGCACGTTCTTATTTTAAAATATTCGATTTAAGAATCCAGTACATTAAATTTGGCCTGAAGAGCCCAGGAGGGGCATCGAAAGTGTTTGCCAATATTAGTTTGGAATTTTCATGCCGGATATTGGTTAAAGACATATTTGAGGGGTTCTCCTCTCTTTCTTTTTCGATCTGTGTTCTCTCTCCTGTGTCTGGTTCAGATGTCTACTGTTTGTCGATTCCATGAGGGCAAGATTGTCACGATGACGGTCAGAACTTTGTCTTCAAGCATTCACTCTAACATTTGTATGTTCAGTGTCATACAGTCTCTCTTCCCGCACTGCTTCTTCAGATGTTCTGAATACCCTTCTAACAACATGAGGCGCCGCAGCAAATCATGTCAAAATCAACAGCACAGCAGTCCCGACAATGGCATGTGTTTCTATCATGTTACCTTTGGGGCACAGGCCAAAAAAAAATGTAAAGCCCCTTGCTCTTTTCAACCGGCAGAAAACTGACTGGGCAGGCACTTACGGCCAGGAGTCTCACCCGCCATATCAACCGAACCATCATGGCCGACCCTACTACAAAATATAAATCCCTTATAGACACAGGTGCCGACATCTCAGTGATTCCAAAAAGTTCCAACACATATTTAGGTAAACCTGAGAAGCTAGTCCTCTTTGCCACAAATGGAAAACACCTATTCCAACTTATGGAACAAAGCTATTAACACTCAATTTTAACTTAAAGCGGAGTTTTTCATGGCCATTTGTAATCGCCAATGCAATCCAACCCATCATAGGAATCGACTTCTTAACTAAATTCAACCTACTGGTGGATGTCAAAAACAATTGACTAATTAATGGGGTCACACAACTTGGGTCTCCTGGCTGGCAGAACTGACCCACAACTCTCACTAACATCACTACAGTGACTAATAACTCTCCCTACCATTGCATTTTGGCCTAGTTAACTACCATTACAAATCCATTAATAACTCCTGAAACCAAAAAAGTCAACCACCTTCCATTACATTGAAACCAAAAGATCACTTGTCTTCTCGAAACCCAGATAGTTACCACCGGATATGCTCCAAGCAGCCCATGAAGAATTTCAATTCTTAATGTCTCAAGGCATCATCTGACCATCCAAAAGCTCTGGGCCAGCCAGCCCATTACACATGGTTAAAAGGCAAAAGGCCAGTGGCAACCTTGCGGTGATTACCGCTGC